TATGTTGTTCCAGGAAGATGGAGCACCGTGTCACACTGCTAGAAACACCCATAAGTGGCAGGAAGAAAATGGTATCCAAAAGTTGCCCTGGCCGAGCCAATCTCCCGACATGAACCCCATCGAAAACCTCTAGGCCATACTTGATCGGCAAGACAAGAAACAACAAAAAAAACCAGCTTCGACGATCGATCTACTCCAAGTTTTGAAGCAAGAGTGGGCAAAAATCCCACAATCTAAAATTGACGAGATGATTCTCACGATGCCCCAAAGGATCAACGAACTCCACGAAGCGAAAGGAAGATCTACTAGATATTAATTAAATGATAAATATATCAATTCATGTGAATATGATTGAAAAATTTCATTTTTTCTGAAAAGGTGGTGTCTATTTACTTGTGACCATGCTGTGTATATTGTTATCAAGCTTTATCTATAAGATTATAGATACAATACTAAGACAAGAAGAACCACAAAGTACTGACTTGGTGTTCCTGGTTGACTACTTAGAGGTGTTGAAGGAATTTGGTTTGGTGTAACAGGATGAGTACCAAATGGTGTGTTATTGGGTGTTGCTGTATGGGACAGAATTGCAGGTTTGATGATAGGCTCACTCTCCCACTCTTTCTCCACAGAAGTTAGAACTTCTGCAATGTGGCTAACTTCATACCTTTTTTCTTCCTATAATGAGGTTAGATACATAAAAAAAAAAAGAAAACCCTCATGAAAATCTAAACTCTAGGTGCCACTTATTCAACAAGCCACTTTATGTAATCTGTCCCATTCTAACCAAAAATAAGCTAAAAACTGGTTTGACCAATGCATGACCTTGATAATTAAACTATTTAATTCTGTATAAAGGTTTGGTTACTTTGCCTGACCTTGCAACCAACATGTAATTATGAGTATATCTATATATATAAAAGAGGAAGTTTGTTTATTTGTTTATTCTGTTCGCTATAGGAAACCAAACGGTTGAACTTACAAATTTTTAAAATAACTTCATAATAACCAGTTTTTTTGCAAGAAATTTAATGGTGCTATTTTTTTGTATTTGGTATAGTATTCAATGACAAAATTGACAATTAATGATTATTGCGCCACTTTTTTTGTAATAAACATACAAACATAAGCACGTTTTGCACATGGAAAGTGTTATGGA